ATTGATGTTTAAAACATAGATTTTGATGTGAGGAAGGTTTTAAAATTATATTTGATAAAAATAATTGCATAGTAAAAGAAAAGTTTTATGGTCGGGAATATAAATGACAATGTGTACATTATTGATTTAAATGATTGTCCTGATAAATGTCTCTCGACTTTGCATGATAAGTTTTGGCTATGATATAGAAAACTAGGACATGTTATCGTGTGCATACAAATTTTATTTGTGTACCCTAATTTGTGATACTAGTCCATGGCATACAAACCATTTGACAAGTTTCATAAATTTTATCTTTTTCAAATTTAAATTTAGAAAGATATCTAATTAATGAATTTTTTTTTAATCTTAATCTCATAACCAAGAGCTAGCATGCAAAGTCGAGAAACATTTATCATTTCTAGGACAACCATTTAAATCAATAGTATACACATTTTCATCTCTATTTCCAACCAACAAAATTTTAATATCGCTAACATTTTCAATTATGCAATTATTTTTATCAAATATAATTTTAAAATCTTTATCACATAATTGACTATAACTCATGCTTTTTCAATAGGTGTAAGTGTCATTACCTATGGTACCCTCACTAATTATTTTACCATTTCTTATACAAAGGTTACTAAACCACCGTCCTTTTCGGAAAAAACTCACAAATTTGGATTGATTTCCCATCATGTCTTGAGCAACCACTATCAAGTACCACTTATTTACTTATTTTTCTCGGAGACTTTCAAGCAAACCTAAAAACAAAGATATTCAAAATTAACCTTTTGGTATCCATACTCGGTGAGGTCCTAAAAGGTTAGTCTTGACAAATTTAGGAATTCATTTCAAGTTTACATTCCTATCGAAAACATTATATTTGGATAAGTATAACAAGAATAATCTTTATGTTCAAACTTACCACATGAGAAACACATATAGACACAAATCTAGATTTATCATTCTTAGATACAAATGTACATGTGTTAGGCTTCGGCATGATAGGGGATGCTTTAACAAATATTGTTTTAGAACTTGAGGGGTAGAGCATTCATCAATATAGCCTAATCTTTTTTTTACCCTAAGGCTTAGCTCCTTCAAGTATTGTATCTAATTTTTGGGCACCTGTTGTTAACCTTTTAAGACTCTTTAACCGTACCAAGTTCTTGCAAATTATTTGATTCATTTTCTTTAAACAATTTAGTTAATTTATCTTTTTCACAGCAATCATGTTCAAGAAATTGAACTTTTTCAATTAATGCATTTTTCTCACTATCAAATACATGTTTTTCACTAACTTCGTCAAAAAAATTGTTGAAGCAACTTATTTGAACAAAGTTTTTTTAAATCAAGTTGCATCTCTCAAAAACTTTAAATAATTCGATTCAAGAATTATCTCATCTTGTTGTTCATCATCTTTGTTACTATGAATAAAAAATTTTCTAGTTCTTATCACTTCCACTTTCATCACTATCCTCCTAAGTAGACTTCATTGCTTTTTTCTTGGATTTCTTGGATGATTTGAGGAGAGTCATTATGAGTCATAGCAAAAATTTGCTGCTTCTTCCTTAGTAGACTTCATTGCTTTCTTCTTGGATTTCTTAGATGATTTGAGGAGAGGACAATTCGTTCTTATGACTTGATTCTTTACATTCATAGTATATTATCTCATCATTTTTGCTCTTCTGACTCTTTTTTGGTTGGTGAAACATTTCTTAAAATTGTTTCTTTCTTTTGATGAAATTTTATACTTACGTGTGAAATAAGCAACATCATCTTCATCAAAGACTTCTTCGTCTTCGGAGTCAACTTCCAATGTGATGGACTTTAGGGCTATACTTTTTTTCTTTTTGGATTCCTCTTTGATGTGCTCCTTCAGGGTAACTTCATGCGTCATGAGAGAACCAACAAGTTCATCCAAACGAAGGTTTGTGAGATCCTTTACCTCTTGAATTGCCAACACCTTTGCTTCTCAACTTTTAGGTAGAGACTTAAGAATTTTCTGTATATTTTCGGAAGTATGAATATATTTTTCCAAGATTTTTCAAGGTATTTAGAATATTAGTAAATCTAGTAAACATAGATTCATTTGCATCCATTTTAAATATTTCATAATTATGAACTAACATGCTAATTTTTATTTCTTTTAACTTATTTATTTCATCCTGAGTTACTTCCCGAGTTTTCCAAATTTCATATGTAGAAGATCACATAAAAATAAAAGCAAATAAATAAATTTTAACTTATTTTTCCGTTTTATTGGAACGTAAGAGTTTTTATTAACATTTAATCATAATTGATAATGGACCAATTGCAAATAAATTTTCATTCTAGTTTTCCAACAAGTATCATTTGTTCCATCAATATAAGTAGACCTAGAACTTGATTGTCCTCCACAAAAACCGTTAACAATAAAATTTATATAAAAAATCTATATGAGCAACCCACTTTGATACCAATGGTTGGATCGGTATGACAACCCTAGAGAGGTGAATAGAGTTTTAACAATAAAAATAAAAGTACGTGATTTTTTTTAGAAATGAGTAGAAAATGATAATTAATACAATAAATTAACTCAAGTCAAAACAATAAACAATTATAAAAATATAACACCGTAGTTTTACAGTGTTCGGTCAAACTCGACCTACTCCACTCCTCAAGCACCTCTTGAGAATTTGAATAAAATTTTCTTACACCGCTATTTTTACGAGTTGAAGAGCAAACTCAATCTTTTTCACGACTCTAAGATCAAATCATTACAAGTGTTGAAATTTGGTAGGAACACACCAAATTTCTAAAAACTAGATTTACAAATTTGAGCATTCACTAACTATTTTCTCCAATAAAAAACTCTTTCAAGAATAAAGATGAAGAGAAATCAAATTTCCTCTAAAAATCTCACTCAAGAGAATTCTCTAATATAATATAAAAATAATAAAAATTTAAAATTTTAAAATTTATTATAAATATAATAATAATAATAAAAATGTGAGGAAGGGTTAAATTCAAATTTCAAAATTAATTATAAATATAATAATAAATAATATTAATAAAACTAAGGTGAGTAATAATTTTTCTTAATTTTAAATTTTTAATATTTATTTGTATTTCTATTTCTTAAAAGTAATTAAAAACTTTTAAAAATTCCACCCTTGTTATTCTGGTAAAATTGTGAGTGCCATATTTTGATTGGTCTATGATGTCAATTTAGCCGTCACATCATCATGTGGGGTATCTTGTGTCGATTGTAACGGTTGTCTCTATGATTGAATCTGTGATTGAAAAATGAGTTAAAATCGTTATTTTCAATCTAACAATTCAAAATGTTGATAATTTTTAATAATTAAGTGTTTGTTTATTATCCTCCAAACATTAATTAATTAAAATTAATTAATTTGAGATTAAGGGCCAAAAAGCCAACCACAGCCACATGAGTGAAAACAAGATTCAGAGGAGTGATGATGCACTCCATTCCTTTAGGATATCCGATCTTCAATACCACAAAAAACCTCGATACTATGAATAGATTTCCAACATTCACTCTCGTCTACAAAACCTTCTTCTCGTCCAACCTACCACCTCCACTCTCCTGTTGTCGCTCACGATGTATGTCACTTGCAGGGCGAAATCTCATGACAATCAATACGAGCAAGTAGATTGTTGCCGGGGTTCAAGTAAATTTTTATAAGGGTTTGTTTAGTTTGAAATTTTGTTTAGGATAGGTGAGAATAGAATGTTCGTGAATAGGATGCCGTAAAAAAAATTCATGGTTTATAGGGTTGTACCAAAAATGTTATCAAAATTTGGGAGTATTTTTAACCATTTTATAACCTTATTTATTTTTAGATAATTAACTATAATTAATTATTATTATTAGTTCGTTATTAAGTCAATATTAAAATAACTTTAATTTGATTTCATTCCTATACCTTCTTATATGAATTTAAAAAAATTAAAAAATACTCATCATTTTCCAAAATCATTAAAATAAAATTACCATATAGTACACGTTTTATTAATTTTTTTTTTATTATATAAAAATTAATTGCAGTTGGAAGAAATAGTTATTACCTATGATGGATTATTTGCATATCAATTTTTTTGTTAGTTAACTAATTGAATCATTGGTTTGATAATGAAATTAATTTCGTAAGATATCCTTCTTCGATCTAATTCATCGTTCTTTTTCTCTTACCGTATTCGTGGTAATTAATTAGGTGAACTAAGACATAAATCTAGTAGACGACCCTCCAACATTCTTACCATACATTAATTTGACCAATACACAAATGGTGTTACATTGAATAATTTTAAATGAATTCAAGCTAGAAATTATCCCAATCGTCATTCATGCTTTGTTCGATTGTGGTGAAGTAAGAAAAAAAAAGAAAGAAGAATTAATCTTTTTTTTTTTATTGAGGTATTTGCTCATTTTGATCCCTTTATCATATTTTATCATACTAATTTCTATTTTACTTTCTCCGAGTTCATTCCTAAGAGAACTCCATTTGACAATTCCTATTTATTATAGCAATTTGGAAATTATACCATAGAGCAAGAGCAATTAGCTTTCGACTTCCAAGAATATGAAATATCACACGAATTTCATAGTTGATGGCATGATTGTACCAATTTGATTTAGGGAGGTTTAATTCATTATTTTGAAGGTTAAATTACAATTAGATAGTAGTCGTTATAGTATTCATCATTCAAGTAGCCGGGATGAAATTATATTGTGAAGTAGTTCAAATCTTAGGTTTAGAAACAAGTCCAAATCTTACTTTCTATTGGATTGATTTCTCTCGATTCCCTTCTTGAATGTTCATTTAGTCTTTTGGAAACTATGTAGTGCAAAGTTGTCTTCAAATGGTTCGAATAGATTAGTGTTCGTACTTCCAACATTTAACCCTAACCTCGAGAAGTAAAACAAGTTATAAAGAAGAGAGGAAGAAAAAGGATGGGCGATCCTTGGTAATTGCATATGAAAAGAAGAATACATATAAAAAAAAAAGTATGCTAAAACTGCTGCTGCACATTATTCAGCTGTATTGGGGTAAAACAAAAAGAAATCCTTGAGAAACAAGAAGGTTAAGCTCATTTCTATGAATAAAAAAAAAAAAAAATTAGAATCAGAAACGCTCATCATCTGAACTCAACATTTAGAGGAGCTTGATTTGAAAAGGATATTGGTGTTGGTGTGTTGGTGTGTTGGTGTGTTGGTGTGTTGGTGTCACATATAGGCTAGCATTCGAAGGAGTGACCCGGACATAGGATTTGCGGCGGCCTTCGTTTCTCCACAACTGGGATCACTGTTTCCATCAACTATGAAAAGCATGTGCACATGATGATTGTCAGAGCATTATAACTAATAACAACTTCCAACCCCCCAACTCATTCTCCATCGCATAACATACTCTTTCTTCTGCAACTCAACTCAAACAACAACTATAACTCCTAATTAAAAACACAATGTATTCACTACGTTGCTACCTGCTTTAGTCGTTCCTTCCCTCTCTCAGCCTGTCATAAGAAAAGCGAACACAAAGGCTATACTCAAACACCTTATAGAAGTTAATTTAGCAAGAAAAGAAATTATGTCAAAGTTATCGATCCATAGCCCTTGGTAATAAGGTGCAAATGAACAAAGGATGTTCATGGATATCTCTTGAACCTGGAGTTAGATTCATTTGGTACATACCTGTATTAGATTGTTCGTGTATCACATAATGATAGTACATGTATCGTTATTTCATATATGGTACATGCATGGTCATGGAGGATGTTCCAAAAATCCTCTCTCTCTATATATATATATAAAAGGACCACCTAGGCAGAGATTTTAGAATCAAGAAGAAAATGCATAGACTTGAATGTGGAGAGAATCCTATCCCATTTTCATACAAATTTTAAGTTGCCAAAAAAATGTGGAATCAAAGCCAAGTTCGGGAAAGATGTCAATGGGTGGTGTGCTACTGCCACGTCTGGTGAAGTCAAACTACAACAACTAGAGCATTCAATATATTAGACATGGTTGAGGACGATTATGTCGAACGGGAGGAAATCGAAGACGTGAGAGTAAATGACATCAACACGCAGAAACGAGCAGAGATGAAGGACAAGTTGTACTTGTTATTGCAAATGGTTGATTAGTAAAATTTGAGAGTCAATGAGGCATGGTACACACTAGTAAATGGTCTTCAAGGGGGCCAATTGAGTAAAGCAAGTACAACTCCGAACACTACGTGGTGAATTGGAGGCGATGAAGATGAAGGAGTCGAAAATCATATCCGACTACGTTATAAGTGTACAAACTATAGTGAATTAACTCAAGAGCAACGATGAAATTCATTAGAAGTTGCAGGTTGTGGAGAAAATTTTGCAATCACTAAATAATTTCAAGAATGTCATGTAGACCATCCAGGAGTCGAAGGATCTAGAAATTCTAATTGTTGATAATGTTGCAGGATTGCTAAAGGCACGCAAGTAGCACAGGATTGGTAAAGCAAGAGGTACATCTTTATCCACTATGATGAGAATACTAAGGCTATAAGCTGTTTGATCCAATAGAGAAGAAGATAGTGCAGATAAACGAGTATAGTTCATGGGACTGAGAGCTATATTACCTTCTGTTTCAATAATCGGTGGTTCTCTTCCTCAAGTCGGGCAGCTATTAACTCTAACTCAACTTGATGTGCCTAAAATCCACATAACCAAGAACAAAATACATTTAAAATCAACAAGAATGAGCAGCAGCAGCAGCAGCAGCATATGGTGGAAGAAGATAGCAAAACCTCACATGTTTCCTTTCTCTGGATCTGGCAGCAGACTCCCTGTTCTTAATCATCCTCCGTTGTCTTTGCAAGGCAGCCTCATCCATGGGCTCCATGGGGGCGCGCCTTCTCTTCCCCGATCTCCCACTAATTTCACCGCCATTCCCAAACCCGACAATTATCTCCTCTTCAAATTGGGGGAAACAATTCAAGGGATTCAAAATCCGCACATCCTCCTGCGCTTTCACTCCAATAAAATCCTCCCATCTCATCATCTCCTCTACCGCCTTCTCCCTCCAAACATCGTCCACACCTTCAGAGGCAGTAGATGGCCCACCAAGCTTACTATCCATATCCATGGCGGACATATGAATGGGATTAGCTACTACTTTTGCTGCTGCTGCTGTTCTAAATATCTGATTTGATTTCTTCATCGGAGATGGATCCGAAATTTGTGTGCGTCAAGAACAGAAGAGGAGGAGAAAGGAAGGAAGAAGAAAAAGAAGGCGACAGTTGCGAATCTCTCGATTTCTGTGGCGCCATTATGCTCGATTGATTGCCCACAGATCTTCTCCCCCTCCATTTTCACTGCTCATCCAAACTTGAGACTAATTTTTTTTTTTTTTAAATAGACATTAGAGCTTAATATTTTTTTAATTAAGGTTTAGAAAATTTATTTAATGGTTAATTTGTGCATTTAAAATTTTTAATTTTGAGTAAATCTTGATTTTATTAAAATTAGTATTATAGAAATTTTATTTTTTTTAGATACAACTAGCAGAGTGGATTAGAAAAAATTTAAGCTAAAATATAATTTAATTAATTAAATTAACTGTATCTGCATCATATTTTTGAAATAACTTTGAAATTCGATCTCTCTAGTGTCATATATTGTCATTTTCTCCTCGATTTCTCAATAAATCTTAAAAATAATGTTGCAAGGAAGAGTTGGTGGTTGATTTCATATTTTATCCATTTTCATCGGTTTTATTCTTTTGTCTCAATTTAGGGCCGAAAAGAGTTAGTCATTTTAGTATTTCTATGCAAGCTCACCCGTAGGATCAACTTGGACAAGCATTTTTAAGTTAGAATCGAGTTAATGTCCAGATATATGCATGATTTAGCTCGAGAATCTAGCAAGCCATGATAAGTCCTAAGGTGCAGGCTAGGTTATCGCTCCTAGATTCAGGACCCATTACTCATGAGAGTCCATTTAGGGACTATTCCCTTTAATTCCAAATTGGAACCCAACCAATAAGAATAGTTCATGATTGATAAGTATATTACGGATTTGAGATATCTTTCAGTATGTCCATGAAGACTTAAGGGTTGATACCACATTAAACCAAAGAGACTTGAGTCAGTAGAGGACTTAGATTTTATCGGATGTTACAAGTAGTTTCATTAGTAGACTTCCATGTGGGGACGGTTAGAGAGCTCACAAGCTCAACCGTAATTGTGAACTTGTCTTGAGGCGATAAGGATTTACATAGTGGTACCACTTATGGGGTCACTCCTACAAGTTCTATGATGATTTGGAGATTAATAGTCTGATAGTAGCTCCTATTCATGAACCTATCCCAAAGATAGGGTCCATAGTCATTCGTATTAGTTTATTAGAAGCTAGATTAGTCACAATCGTGCATTGAGGATAGTTATGCGCCCTAAATAAAACTCATGTGGGACGATCAAGAGATCTTCAACTATTCGTTGGTCGTAAACTTGCCAAAAAGGGTAAGAGTTCACATGAGTGTAGTAGCTTGGCATACATGAATGCCGGTCCATATTAGATTATGATGACACTATGTAGTTTATTAAGGAGTCCCCAACAAAGATGGAGTGATATTTTCCATAATGTCCTAGTAGTTGGAATAGTCAGAGGTAGCAAGCACCTCACAAATACATGGAACTTGGACATGTGTCACAGGTAATAACAGTTCCGTATGGCTAACCAAACCTACCTTAAGATCCTATAGGGAACTCAAATGGGTGTAGATGTTCTCTGAGTGAGCGGGCCAAGTATGAGACATTGTGAGACAATTTGCTGTTTATTTTATATGTTTTAATCCCAGTATGACGTCCGTTATTTTAAAAATGAAATTTTTTATCAAGTCTTTTAAATCTTGAGTCAATACATAGCAATTCGTGATTCAAAACTTTACAAAGAAAATCGTTATAGATTGGCATCCAAGCCTAGGTGGATAAGTCACGTAGACTATTTTCTTAGATAAAGAGTCATTTAAGTCATGTACAACTCAATACAAGAAACACCACACCAAAGTAGTGACAATTAGTGACGAACCGATAACCTAGCTTCAGCTGAAAGAAGCCTTCTTCTACAGGTACTATCCAATTGTCAATTAATATCGGAATCCGACGACATGGCGACAAAGAGAATTTAAAAACTTTGTTAGGCTCTCGAGTAACGAGTAAGATAGATACCCACATCACAAGATTAGGACAAAATAGCTGAAGTGGAGTGGGGCAAGGACGAGGCATGACCTACGCCACCACGCAGGAGGAAAGAGGAGGCTGACACCATGGTAATAGATTTCTTACGAGTCTCGGCTACTATGCTTATGCTTTATCTGATTCAAAATTCACTCACTTGTTTAGATCTATGATGTTTATGAGACATGCACGTTAAGGGTTAGAGTAGAGTACAAACTTTATGGACCCTACCTTCTCTTTTAAAATAAGACTGCTACTACATGTGTGTCATGACTAATGCGGGTCTAAAATCATTAAAATAATTCCCTTTAAACATTTTCATGTACTTAAATATTCAAAAATTTATTTTGAATATAATAATAGCACCATAAAAATAGCAAAGTGGTAAATTAGAAGAAAAAAAAACATTTTCTATCAAAGCTTAGGAAAAATGTGAATGACTTATCCTAACATAAAGGCGGAAATTTAAGTATTGTGAATGGAAAAGTTAAACATGGTTTTAGTATTTAAAAATGATCACTATGTAACTAGGTAAATGCAATCACATGCAACATGGTTCATGATGAGACCTACTTTTACATGACTATTCTCTAGGCTCTACTTTCTTTTTCAAGTACAGTTAGATGTATAGTACTTCTCTACACATGATTTACACACAGTCACATGAACCCAATAGGTGGGCTCGTATATGATAACTCTCCAAAAGTAGAGTTATAAGTCTTTTTGTAATTAATTTGCACTCATACAAACCATTTGCTCAATTTGTTTTAATTAGTAAGTATGAAATAGTTCATTGTGGTTCAACATGAAAAGAATATCAATTTGCATGAATCAAGCCTCATTGTACATTTAATTGAGTTATTAGGCAAAATTTCATAATATTTATGTTGAACCAGGATGTTGTAGCAAATTTTGAAACAACACTGGCGAAAAGCAAATTTTCGGGGATGACATGGAAATTTTAATCCACATTAGCACTTGACGCAGGTTATTGTGTAACGGCCCAGATCCACCGCTAGCAGATATTGTCCTCTTTGGCTTTCTCTTTCGGGCTTCCCCTCAAGGCTTTAAAACGCGTCTACTACGTTCCACACCTTTATAAATGATGGTTTGTTTTCCTCCCCAACCAACCAATGTAGCATCACAATGAATGTAATAGCCCAAAAAATAAAAAAATAATATATAAAGAAATAAACAAATAAAAATAATTATAAAAAAAATAGTTAAATAACAACAATAATAATAATAAATAAATAAAAACTTTCCCCACTTATCTCCACTAACCTCTCATCTCTTCCCATAATTATCTCAGAAACACAAAAACAATAATGATCAGATTTTGGAAAAAGTAAAATGGTTTTCAGATGGCAGATTTAGAGATTTTGGTCAGTTTATTAGTAAAATCTTATCTCATATTTCATTTTCCTTTATAGGTATGGTTATAAGAAATTAGGATAGATCTTCTTCCCTTTATCCAATATTATACCTAATTAATTAGATTTTTGTTGGCAATTATATAAATCTGTAAGATTAGGCAAACATTACAATTGGACAATAATATCGGTTTAAAAAATAAATCCGAGTGAAGGAATGTTTGTTTAGAGAATGAAAATCTATTTATACAATTAGAGGAGGGAAGATTGAGGAAAAATTTGGTGAAAAAAATTTAAAAATAAAATAGGGAGTATGAGAGGACAATAAACTTCATTCAATTTTGTCACTAACAATATATTCCCTACAACAGTAATAATAGAAAATAAGATATTTAGAGATAATAGTATAGAGTTCAAACTTGAAATGGATGTCATGGGCTCACATGGGTTGACTCGGATTTCAAAGGACGAAATCAAACTTTCATTAAAGATATATTTGTGACAACGACTTAAGCTAGCCAAGTAAGTGGCCTTACTATCGGCATGGTTAGGTTATATTTGATGTTGACACGTGCCTGTTGTTCTGCATGTGTCATATATACTGATATGTGTGAATTATCTGTGAATCGGTATGCTTATATTATATTTATGTTATGCTATAACATGTGGATTGTATGATAATAATTATGGTATAATGTGTTCAAGGATATGTTTGAGATAGGATACGAGAATGATGCACAAAACGAAATCTAACGATAGGAGTAAGATACGTTCATGAAACGTTAAGGTTAGGTTACATACTAGAGTGCTATGGATATGGGAGATTGATGAAAGAATATGGTTAGGATATGGGTAGAAAGAGATAGGTTTGTGATAGATTGATAGAACGATAGCGTTAGGATACGTTCCTGTGATGATATGACTAAGGTACGTTCACGTAACGATATGATTGTGATAGGTATAAGAACGTCAAGGCTATGATAAGTTAGGAAACGATATGACCACGAAGTGTTTACGATATGACATGTTTATTGTAACGACCCGAAATTTTCTACTTAATTTAAGGTCGCTACCGTATACGTACTATAAACTTTGAATGCAAAAGACTTCATTTAAATTCCATAAAACATAACCTTTATTTTAAAACACAGCCATGGACTTACGTGTTTTGAAAACATCTTTAAAACGACACCACAAAAGATTAAATAAAATGAATTAAGAGTTTAAGTTAAAAACAACCTAGTCTAGCCTAAGTTTAAGAAAACAAATACCACTACCTTATGCATGTGTCATGGTCTCGAATTGCGATGCCGTCGTCAGCCGTATAGGAATGTCTTGCCTTAACCTGAAAAATGAGGTAGCATATGGCTTGAGTATTTAAAGAAATAATCAGTAAGTGACCCCACTATTGGGGTTAAATGCAACAATCACATGCAATGAAATGATGGGGCCTATCTTTTGTTTCGTTTCGTTTTTCCTACGGTGCTGTCCTAACAGGTAATCGTGGACGTGTATCATATACTCTACACACAGCCCATACGTGTGAGTATGGGCTCACCAGCTAGTTCGCACACTGCTGGGCCACTTTTCTTATCCGGTGGGTATACTCTGAGAGCCCCTTATGTCGTAACTCATTAGAACTAGTAACCGTCACGACAGCACTATGCAAAGCATAAGGATCGTTATCCTGCCATTAGATGTACGTGTCCGTACCCTCGTGATGGGATAGGGGTATCCCCCAGATGCATGAACACACATA